AACTTGCATGAAATTTACAAAGTAGGAGAAGTTGAGAGAGGAAAAACTTAAGAGGAAGTTGCAAGATTTTACTGGATAAATTCTTATTTGTTTCAATTTGCCATTGAGAAAAACGGCTCTTTCTGCTTCTTGCATTTTACAAAAGCAAAGGAATTATCTTTTGGAATTGTAAAGTTCAAATTGCCAAAGTAAAAATTTTAATTAAAATTTCATAAAACGATTATGAACTCCCTCCTCGTCACGGAGCGTCGAATGGGGGTTGGAGCACGAGCTTACGTTCATAACAATTGCGATCGTTTGTCGGCCTTAAAAACTTTCTTGAAACCATCCTCTATTGTACGTTTTAAGAGTCTTATTTTATTTGCACAGAAATGATGTTGCCCATATAGACTCCTCTGTTGGAGTGAGTCAGCATCTTGCGAGCAAATCAATTATCAAATTCCTCTTGGGCTAGAACCCAACTCAAGGTAAACCTATTACGCGTTCCTAGCAAGCTTTGTAACTGGCCTTAAGCGTTAATGCCATTGTATGTATATGAGTCTGTGGCTCTTCCTGCTGTCAGACTAGCCAACATTGATTTTTAAAAGACTTCCAAAAACGGAGGAGGTTATCAGTTCGTCGGAATATTTTTAATTTTTTTTTATGTATGTTACCGCATAACTTTTGACCACGTCAACCGATTTCGATAATTCTTTTTGTATCGGAAAGGTAGTGTCTCAGAGGTGGTCCCATACTAATCTAGTTAGTTCTTATTGTGGTGAAATTTTGAGGAAAGAATTTTTGTCAAAAAATAAATAAAATTACAAGTAATTTTTAGCAAAAAAAAACAGACTTCAATTCTCATATAAAAAATATATATATATAAATATATATATCTCATGATCCACCGATCGGATCCCAACCAGATTAGTATGGGACCACCTCTGAGACACTACCTTTCCGATGCAAAAAGAATTATCGGTTGACGTGGTCCAAAGTTATGCGGTAATATACATAAAAAAAAATAAAAATATTCCGAACGAACTGATAACCACCTCCTTTTTGGGAAGTCGGTTAATAAAATCAAAAATAAAATGTATTTCCAACAAATTGTATGCAATTTCCACACAAAAATTTACGTTTTTGGCCGTTTTTGGTAATTTTTCGATGTCTTTGGTACGAAAGGTGTATTAAATATTTGTCGGATCGCAAAAGCAATGTCAAATTCGTATTCCTCGTACTGCTTTCCAGTACGAATTTTCAGAGCAATCGGGAATTTCGCTAAATTCGGGTCCCGCCTAAAAACATGAATTTCATATTAACCGATTGAATGACCTAGGCTAGAAAAAAGGATAATCAACACTAAATTCAGCGTACCCGAATTGACTTCGTCGGCTTGCTCAAACATAAAAAGTTTAATTTTCGTGCACACTGTTAGCACTGTAAAACAGTTCCTTGGAGGAATTATTTACAACCATGTTGGGCCTAACTGACCTTAACCTTGATAGATTGTATGAATTTAAATCTGACATACGGATCACTAGGTAATAGTTTTAAGGCTAAAAAATGATAATTAAAGTCTCCTCTAAAAGTTTTTGTAGACATTTTTCAAATCCTTCTATTGGAGAAGCCAATATGACAGCTACTAGGCCACTGCCGCGTATGTCATATTTGTGTTCACCTAGTTAGAAAGTAATTTTGTGTCCTTCTTAGGGATGTGCACGCAATATCAATTGGTACTAAAAATATAAAAATAAATATATTTCTTATTTGCTAGTAAAAATTTAGTGCAAAACTTCTACTAGATATAGCAGTGCATCCATAAACATGTATGCGGCTGTAAGATTACTAAATAGTTATTTACTTATGCTTAATATGGTACTAAACTCAATTTAAGTAAAAAAGTGCATACGAAAACTGTTGCCGCTAAATAAAATTCGACAGTTTTTGCGTTGAGTTTTAAATTCGACTTCTTTTAGTACTAAACCAGCAGTTTCGAAAGCTGTAGGTACTAAAAATGGTAGCAAAATGGTATTTAAATCATTGATTACTGGGGCTGGGAATTTCATCCGGATTTTTCAACTATCCGAATAAACCGAATGTTCAGAAGCTAAGATAATATTCGGATATCCGAATATCTGAATTTTCGTTACTCCATATGTATGACGGCCTGGTATTGGGAAATGAAAATATTGTTTCGTAAAAATTCAAAAAATATATAAAAATGACCACGAGTTTTCTTCATGGCTTTAAAATATATGTACTGAATAATTAAAGCTGCTCCGATACTTTTGTTCGCGGTGAATGCTGTACTAAATTGTAGCATTTTCAAAAAAGTTATGACAACAATAATAGTGCCATTTGTTTATATTGTGATAAAATATTACAAAACGTAGGGTCAAGTTTAAGTCCGTCAAGAGCTCATTCACTATATAGTGCGCATAATTGAATAAACGAATATTTTTCATAAATTTGTTGATTTTTTTATTTTTTTTTTTTATATTCGAAAATATGAATAACGGAATATTCGTAAATCCGGATATCCGGATAATTTCACATACGAATATTAACCGGATATCCATACTATCCGCATTTTATCCGTGTCAATGGATAATTTAAAATCTTAGCGGAATTTTCGGTACCTACAGTACAGAGTGCAGTTCTAAAATATTTTCTTGCTGATACTGGAAATAATAAAAAATTTGTACTTGTGAAGTACTAAATTATATATATCAAGCTTAAAATTCTACTAAACTCAAGTTTAATTTACAAAAATAGTACTAAAACTACTGCACATAAATAAAAATCCGCTCTGTTTGCTTTGAGTTTGAAATTCGGCGGCAAATTCAAACTCATTTAGTACTAAACTTTTGGCACCCAACGCTAAAGGGTTTCCAAAACTGGTGCCTAAAGAGGTGCTAGAGGGTAGTAAAAGCGGTATTTAAACCAGTAAAAAATACACGTTTGTGATTATTTAGTCAGTAGTAATTTTAGTACAAATTTTTTAATCTAAATGCAAGCTTAAAATTTGATACTGAGCAATTAGTATCAAGGGCTGTAGATATTAAAAATGAGACTAATGGTAAATGTAAACAGTAAAATAATAAAAAATTGTACTAAAAATAGTACTAAGAAACTGATTATACATGCTAACAATTTCTAAGTTAGTACTAATTTTAACAGTCTTGTTATTTTTGAGGACACATTTTTTTTTTTAAGTTTTAAGCGCAATTTTCGATACGTACTGCGCAGTACTAAAAAAACTTCGCAAGTATTGTTCTAAAATTATTTCAAGATTTGAAATGTTACTAAAACTGCTGGTGCTTTGTAAAAATTGTCAATATTTAACGTCTGCAGTTTATCTGTGTACGTTTTCACCCCCAAAAAATTCAACATTTTTCCAGGCGAGGCCATTTATGAGTGTCATATAAATCGTCTAACTGAAATTTAATTTTCTCTCATTTCAGCAAAAAAAAAAATCAATTTTAAAATAAACAAATAATAGAAGAATTCACTAAACGTAAAACGCCGACAAATACATTAAAATTTTAAAATAAATAATATTAAAAAAAAAAATAATAATAATATTTTAAATTAAATTTCACTTCTAAAAAAAAGCAATCACTTGGTTAAACTGCGTTTGCGGTCTACAATTAGGGAATCACTGAGCAAACAATTTGTTGTTAAACAAAATTTTTTTGCATTACAATCACAAAATCAATTATTCAAAGCAGGTAAAGGTATCCTTAGCTAATAACAAATTCCCCTCCAACTTTTTTCGTTGACGTTCTCATCAACGGCACTGACTACCTGCTACGTTACATTTTTACAACTGTATGCGTGTGCGTGTGCGCCTGGCTACGTGTGGCAACGGCTCCAAATTCTACAACAAATATTTTTATCTATTTTATTTATTCACGACCCACAACAATGTGAAATTATGCCATGAAAACGTGAATGCATTTGTTTGCGACCAATAATTAAAATGTCAACTCGCACAACAACTGTCTGCTGCTGTCGGCATCACAACATCCTCCCATCCAACGATGACGTCCTCCTACAACGGTCCAATGCCAATGTTGTTGCTGCTAATTTGTACGCTACGACGCATGTATGCGCGTGACCGCACCACCAAAAATTGATGAACAACTTTTGCACGCTCGCTGCGTGATTGCTTGAATGAATTTGACAACCAACTGCGAAACGGTGACGGCGTTCATTGCTGACGCTTTTAATATCATTGCGGCGGTGGCGGCTACTGCTCCAACGACTATTCCTACTACTACCAATTTTGACATATCGTTCAATGCACTGCATGCCAATAATGATGATGATGACATCGCATCTACTGACACATCTCGTTATAACCGATGATTTTCGGCTCGCGCGACATGTCATGTCGTCCACGAATGACTGAAATGCAACAAAAATGCGAAATAACGAAATATGCGTTGGCATAAAATGATAATAAATAAAATGGAATATAAATTAAACTAATGGCCCTGATGAAAAAATGCATTTAAAATTTTAAATCGATTCAATAAAAAAAAAAAAAATATTTTAAAAATAAAAAAATGCAACGAATTGAACTGTCAAACGCATGAATCGAACATAAAAAAAAATTTCCAAAAAAAAAAAATACTTTTATTCAACTTCCAATGTCACAAAATCGATATTGAAAAACAACAAAAATTCATCTACCAACTTGGCATTTGCTACTCTGACTACCATTTTTTTTGCTTCCCTTTTGTGCCGGAAATGTCATTGCACTTGTCTTATGTCTGTCTGTCTGTCTGTCTGTCTGCACTTCAACTCTCATTTATTATTACGAATTTTGCCCTTTGTTGGCTTGTATGCTGGCGTCACCGCTGCCACTCAACTTGCAAAACAACAATGTTGCTCGTTAACTGCTGCTGCTGCTGCTGCTAATGCTGATGCTAACGATGGTAAATTGTAACGGTAAATACAACTGTCAAATACTGGCAAATGTCAACTGTCAAATTATTGATGTGTCATTGTAGCCCGCATTCTAGTAGCTACTTGACATATGAAACGAGCGTAAGGCAGAAGAGAAGAAAAGGAGCGTAAGAGAATAGTATTCCCGGAAGTGAACGAAGATAGATTAAAAAATGACAAGTTAAATAGAAGAGTTGAAACTTGGTTATATAACAAAGACAAGCGAAATTGACAAGTGCAGCTGAAGATAAGCGTGAACAGCGAGACGCTGAGTAAGCAGACGAAGCAATTAAGTGGAAAATTTTAGTATGTAAAATTATAAAAAGAAACCTGAATTAAATATGAACAAGGAAGCACTGAGCAGAAGCAGTTGAAAAAAGCTTTGGCTGAACAAAAGAAAGCTCAGCAAGAACTGAACGACAGCAAGTCAATTTATAAGTGCGCTAGAAAGCAGTATTGAGCGAATTTAGTTCTTTAGATGCGAACAGCGCATAAGTAGCGCTACACAGGCGAAGTACGAATTTGATGGTTAAAACAAATTTTAAGCGACTTTCTTAAGATTTAAGAAAAAAGCAGAAATTGCGTGAGATTCAAGAATAACGTTCGCCAAAAAAGCTAATTGCAAAGAAAACACAAATTGAACCAAAGACAACGCGCTCGAAAGCTCTAAGCTTTTTCGCGCAAAGCAAACAGAGAACACACAAAATCATGAAATTGTCAGTTAAAAATTTTGAACGCGTTGAGAAAAGTACAAAAAAGCTCTAAAGCTACACAAATCTGCAGAGCGGCAATTAAGATAAGCACACGATCAATGCAGGCAACTGAGAATTGACAACAAAGAAAAGCTCAAACAAAGCGCTGGTAGTGTTCACTCCAAGCTTTTGCAACGAACACAAGAAACGCCAGCAAGGCTTAATAGAAAGCACATTTGAAACGCAATATCAATGCCGCCTGAAAGCAGACTATCCAGCGTGTAAGTCAAGTTGGCTGGCGGTAGCTTAAAAGCTTTAAAAAGTTCAAACAACAAAAGTAGCGCTAATAAGTTTTGCGCTTCGCAAACGATCGAAAAAAGTATAACAAAAAAAAAAAGCCAAAAGGAAATTTCAAACGAACAACACCTGCTTGCCTACCTGCCTGTCCATATACAGCTTCCAATTGCCATATTATTGTTGTTATTTAATTTTGTTGTTGTTGTTGTTGTTATCGCTGCTGTTATCGCCTCCCACACATCAGCTTAACTTAAAAATCCAATAATATGGGGCTGCAAATAGCAGCAGCATTGCCAGCAGCCAACAATCTTGTTGCAATCACGCCCCCCACACATACAGCCACCACCAGCACACTTCTAGCCACAGCTACAGCTACAGTTACAGTCAGTGCCACAGCCACAGCCACAGCCACAATAGCCAATACCGTGAGAAAGCTTACCAGCGCCATTGCTACATCCAGCATAGCCACATCATTGTTGCTGTTGGTATTGCTGACCTGGAATCCAGCAACAATTGGTGTTGATGCAGTCCGTGAGTACAATTACAATTTGACTTTTTCGTATTAATTATTTGTATGCACATATGTACGTACATGCATATATATCTTATTTATTTATGTGTACATATATGTAGGTAAAGCGTATATATATACATATATATATATATATATATATATGTAAATTCATATAGTACTTTTTGTAATCTTTTCACAAGGTACTTACTTAATTGCATTATTATTTGCATGAACAAGTGATTTTAATTGAATTTCGTAAGGTTATTGTAGGGTAGAAAAATAAGTAAGTAAGTATTGCTGACAAAGGCTTACGTTTGTAGGTATGTGCATATGTTGTATGTAGCCTATAAGCCATTTTTATGCAGAAATATGTAATGGTATTTTTAAAAAATTGCGAGGTATGCTGTTAAATCATGTATTATAGAATATAATTTTTGCAATAAATTCAGGATTTTCACCAAGACGTTAAGCCAAAGAGTAGCAGAGTTTTTGAGATTTTACATAAACCATGCAATGTTTTTATTATTATTATTTTTACTTAACAAACTTTCTCTTTGCTATATGTGTGTTCATATATGAGTGGAGTCTACCGAGCAAACGCCAATTATTCGATGTGTAAATTTGCTTGATCTGTTGGCTGCAGTTAATACTAAAAACTGCATAAACAACACGGTGGTTTAGAAATACATAAAACATCAACTATTTTTAATTTTCCTGCTGCCACCCCGCAGAGTTATAAAAAATTAAAATAAACTCTTTTTTTTTTAGCCGGTTGGTTGCTCCGCACAATAGGCCATGAACGAAGAAAATTATATTTGGTTTAGTACAGCAAAGCTTTAAAAAGGTGCGTCAGTTATTAAGGCCCACGGTGTATATTTGTGATGATCAGATCGACTGGTTATCTATACTTAATATTTATACTAAACACTTTAAGTGGTTCAGTTTCACAAATAAAAGTTCAGCAAATAAAATTTCTGATCTGAAAACTAAGCATTTAAAGCCACGGGTCTGAACACTTATAACGGGTGATTTTTTAAGAGCTTGATAACTTTTTTTTTAAAAAAAACGCATAAAATTTGCAAAATCTCATCGGTTCTTTATTTGAAACGTTAGATTGGTCCATGACATTTACTTTTTGAAGATAATTTCATTTAAATGTTGACCGCGGCTGCGTCTTAGGTGGTCCATTCGGAAAGTCCAATTTTGGGCAACTTTTTCGAGCATTTCGGCCGGAATAGCCCGAATTTCTTCGGAAATGTTGTCTTCCAAAGCTGGAATAGTTGCTGGCTTATTTCTGTAGACTTTAGACTTGACGTAGCCCCACAAAAAATAGTCTAAAGGCGTCAAATCGCATGATCTTGGTGGCCAACTTACCGGTCCATTTCTTGAGATGAATTGTTCTCCGAAGTTTTCCCTCAAAATGGCCATAGAATCGCGAGCTGTGTGGCATGTAGCGCCATCTTGTTGAAACCACATGTCAACCAAGTTCAGTTCTTCCATTTTTGGCAACAAAAAGTTTGTTAGCATCGAACGATAGCGATCGCCATTCACCGTAACGTTGCGTCCAACAGCATCTTTGAAAAAAATACGGTCCAATGATTCCACCAGCGTACAAACCACACCAAACAGTGCATTTTTCGGGATGCATGGGCAGTTCTTGAACGGCTTCTGGTTGCTCTTCACTCCAAATGCGGCAATTTTGCTTATTTACGAAGCCATTCAACCAGAAATGAGCCTCATCGCTGAACAAAATTTGTCGATAAAAAAGCGGATTTTCTGCCAACTTTTCTAGGGCCCATTCACTGAAAATTCGACGTTGTGGCAGATCGTTCGGCTTCAGTTCTTGCACGAGCTGTATTTTATACGGTTTTACACCAAGATCTTTGCGTAAAATCTTCCATGTGGTCGAATAACACAAACCCAATTGCTGCGAACGGCGACGAATCGACATTTCACGGTCTTCAGCAACACTCTCAGAAACAGACGCAATATTCTCTTCTGTACGCACTGTACGCATTCGTGTGGTTGGTTCAATGTCCAATAAAGTAAACTGAGTGCGAAACTTGGTCACAATCGCATTAATTGTTTGCTCACTTGGTCGATTATGTAGACCATAAATCGGACGTAAAGCGCGAAACACATTTCGAACCGAACACTGATTTTGGTAATAAAATTCAATGATTTGCAAGCGTTGCTCGTTAGTAAGTCTATTCATGATGAAATGTCAAAGCATACTGAGCATCTTTCTCTTTGACACCATGTCTGAAATCCCACGTGATCTGTCAAATACTAATGCATGAAAATCCTAACCTCAAAAAAATCACCCGTTACATTCGACTGTATCATCAAAAAAAAAAAATAAATAAAGTTGCGGTTTTCCCCCGATTCCGATTTTACAAAATTTATTATATTTGAAGAAGTCCACCAAAATATTTTGGAAAATATTAAGATTTAGTTGAGCTGGACCGATTTGAAAATAAATAGCTCCAAAAATGAAAAAAATCCCTCAGATGACAAAACAGTTAAAGCTTGAAAAATCTGCATAAAAATATCTATTGAAAAAAATTGTCAATTTTTTAATTTTTTCCTTTTCACCAAAAACTTGTAAAACTTGTATATAAGGGGATGGCGATGTCAGATTTTTTAAATTCAAAATGTGGGTGCAATGCGGGGTTGTCGGATTCGGAGCAAACAAATTTAAGTTCAAAATAGTACACCACATTTTTGCTATTTTCAAATAAAAAACTGTTTCCTTTGGATATAAATATCACGATAAGTAGTTTAAAAATGAAATTGCGGGCACAGGGCAGCATTTAAAGTAAATCCGGCCCTGGATCTTTGTTGCACTAATTATTCCTATACTAATTAGGATTAATTTCTAATCTATTCCAGCTGAAATTATCTGCAAACTTCTTGTAAATACTCATTTTATCAATGAGCCTAAAGAGCGATTTTAAAGTTTTTTCGAGGTTAGGTTTGTATGGCAGGTATGCTTCAAAATGGACCGATTATGCCAATATTCTGGGTGTTGCTTATAATATTATTTCAAAGATAGGGTCGAAATTTTGAGATCAGATATTCATTGGTGTGCGTTTTATGGCATTTTTAAGGCGTTTTTGAGGTTAGGTTTGTATGAGAGGTATGCGTTAAAATAAACCGATTATGCCAATATTTTGGGTGTTCCCTTATAATTTTATTAGAACAAGTAATTTTTAAGCAAGAAACAAAACCAGAGTACTGTTAATTTCTTAAAGATCCAATGATCGGATCTGAACCAAATTAGAATGGGACCACCTCTGAGGTAGAAATCGGTTGGCGTAGTCCAAAGTTATGCGGTAGCATACATAAAAAAAAAGATTAAAAATATTCCTTCTCCTTTTTTTTAGAAGTCGGTTAAAAATATGGAAAAACAAGTGGAAGTCAAATATGCATTGGGGCGTTTTTAATGGTGCTTTTCAGGTTAGGCTTGTCGCATCCAGCTTTCATTTTTTTCTTGCTCACCCTTTTCGAACGCACCGTCAGGGAGACAAGCGCCCTGATGGCTGCTTGACTGTCAGAATAAATATGGTAAATATTAACAGATGTTACAGTAGAGAGCAACCAACCCGAAGCTTCTTTTATTGCGGCCACCACAGCCTGGTAAATACTGCAGTGATCCGGTAACCTAAATTTCAGGTTAATGGAGAGTTCTTCGCAGAAGACACCTCCACCCACCTTCCCATTCAGCTTCGATCCATCTGTAAATAATTTTACAGGTCCTCGATTCCAGATATTGCACCCTTCTCAGTCTGCCCACGCTGGAAGGGGGTGGTAAAAGATCCATTCGGACCCAGAAACCGGCGTGCTGTGGTCTGTCCGAGTCGGTAGGAACCCGAAGCCTTTTAGAGACCTGATAACCCAAGATAATTTTTAAGTTATTAAAGAGTCTTACTCTACTCCTAGCTTCGTGCCAGGGGGCCGTGAGAAAACAGTAATTTTCAAGGTATAGTCCAACCTTTCACAATATCCGCCCAAAGGCTTTATTATACGTATTCTGAAACGCACTAATCACTTAAAAAAAAATGTTAAGTTTTGAGTTTTACTGTCATGCAGGGTCCTTTAAATTTGTCAGGGATATCCTAGGTGTTTAATAAAGAAAGTGATCTCAGCAATTTTTATTTTTTTTTTAATTTACTTTACAACTTTGCATTCATATTCACGCTTGCACGCGTCGTCTACTTTTTACTACTAATTAGCGTGAAGGTTACTTTTGATGATTACCATTTACCTTACGTCAGCTAAAACGATTTCAAGTCTTTCTTTGATAAATAAATGCCTTTTAAAATCGTCTAGCAACCCTTTTTTCGTTTAAATAAAATTAAAAAAAATAAAATTAAAATAAAAAAATGGGCTTTTATTAACTCTATAGTAGCTATACACATTTCAAACCAAGGTCAATTAAAACGCCCAATTAGTTGCATTAAAAGCTCTTTCTCAACCAACAAAAATATCATCACACAAATGAAAAACTCGCAAATCAGGTTCACCAAGAAGCAAAAATCAGCGAAAATTTTGTTTTCAAACACACAAACGCCACTGTTTTTTTTTTTGCTTTGAAAAAACTTTCACCGCAAAAGAAATTGGTTAAATAAGAAGCAGCAGCCGCCAACAAATGCAAAAGTCAGCAAAATATGTGCAAACAAGTTGCCATGAAAAAATTCCGTAACGCGAAACATATTTTCTGAACAAAAGTTCAAGTAAAGCTAACGCAAGACAACAACAACAAAAAAACGAAAATTTAAGCAAAACAAGAAAAAAATCCACTTTCGCAGTTACTTCGCAGTTTCACAGCTATTTAGCATACTTTTGGGCGCATTTGTTTTACCATTTGTGGGTTCAACCATTTCTGTTTTGTGTTTGTTTTTTTCGTTGCTTTGCCTGGCCTTAGCCATACACTCCACCACACACACGCCACTTTTTACACTTCATATTTGTCGACTTTTATTAAGCGGAAAACAAGAGCGCATAACCGCAGCAA